GTTGTTAAGTTTCACGTGATTGTGGAAATTATGTGTATTACAAAGTTGTATCGAGAAAAAATAAACTAGTTTTAATTAAGACTGGACGTGTATCGCTTAAGCTCCTTGGAATGAATTTATACCAGAAATTAACAAACAAGCAGATACTTAACAATATATATATATATATATTATTTTCTTGGATTAATACTCATTGATGAGCTTGTGCTAAGAGAAGATCTTGATATCTGCCACACATGCTGTCAAAACATAGGAGTGCTAAGGATAAGAAAATCATTGGTTGAAATACTAATTGTTTTGTAGAAAAAAAATTATGTCATGCCAAATCTATAACAACAAATATTTTGCAACATGTCACACTCATTTTCCTATGTACATATGTATGGGTCGAAGTGTGCATGGCATTACCTTTTACATAGTGTCATTCAACATGGAATTTTGTATTTGTTGTCAGAGTTCGAACTATTCATTTTTCTCTACATTGCTGATTTAGTTACAATTCATGGTAAAATAGAGTAAATACCAGATACATTATACAATGATCCTTAAGAAAATTGTAAACATTTTGGAGGTTCTAGAAGTTTTGCAAATGCAACATTCAAACTGTATAATGGAAAAAATATTTATTATTCTGTACATGAACATCACCTTCCACTCTGACTTATTAAGAGTCTGAGTAAGACTGGCATTGTCAATTCACAGACAAATCTTAGATACAGATATTTTTGTAACACATCTCTTTTTGTGTGTGCAGTAGTTTAGTACATTTTTCTAAAAATCTTGCCACATTTCATGTATATACAAATAGAAAATGTCTTTCTCATTTATATTTGTATAAGTTCAATTATTGTTAACAAAGAGCTAAAATTTAAGTGTAACTACCTAGAAACAAAAAATAAGTCACTCAATGAGTGAAGAGGGAAACAAATTGGAAAGTTTAAGTAATCTTTTTGCCTTTTTTTTTAGTTAATTTAGTTTTACAACCAGTAGGAATTACTCAGGATAAATGAGACTGATGATAACAAAAGTTATGATGTTCAGTTAATTTAAAATGTGATTTGTCAAAGTCTTGTAAGTCAGTTCATGTTTTTCATTTTATGCATGTGGACGTTGACTGGTTTTTTTCAGTTATGTTCTTTTCATTTGAAATGTAGTGCAGATAGTGAAAATTTTGTGTTCTAGTGTAGTTTTGTTCCACTAATACTAACAGTTGTTTAGTTAACCTCTAGTCATGCTGTTGTTCTTATAGGTATTTGGTAGTTCTTATGTGAAGTCATGACAAATAATTGTAATGGTCTATTCTATATTTTCTGATTGATAATAAAAAATTGTAGTTTCAAGTAATGTTATAGTTATTGATCACCAACCTTGTATTAGAAATTCTAAGAAATAATTCTTGAAATTCATGAAAATATTTTGTAGAAATTTTGTAATTATTCTTGAATTTCTTTTTTGTACTGAAAGTGTGAGAACCCTGAGTACAGCTTATTTCTTTAACCTACCACATCACAGTAGTTCCTACCATCAAACAGTGACACAGTGTGTAACTTTTCCTTTTCTAAGTTAATAAAATATTTAGTTTTGTGTGTTCTTACACCTTTAACTAATCACTACATCTATCTTTTCAAATATTAGATTCCTGAACCTCTCGTTATATAGATTAGATAATGATTTTGATGTTCATTCCTGGAATACCACACATTTTTATGTACTTATTAATATATATATATATATATATATATATACATACTTTTTTTTTGAAAAAGTTTCATCTGCTAAGTTCTGTGTTTTTTTCCTGTATGTTTTTTTAGAGCCTAAGATTGTATGTGTATATATACCATGTATTTATTTGTTTCCATACAGTTATAAGTTTATCTTAAAATTTACTCTTTTACTGCATTATGTAAGGTTATAAATTTTAAAAACTTGTAAGAATTACACCAAAGTATGTAAGAGCCATCAGAGGAAACGTTTAGCAACAGAAGAAAATTATAACAAAATGGATGACTTGAAGTAACAAATGACTTAAGAAAATGGAAGATAATTAGTATGGAAAATATATATATATATCAAATTTAATCGGTGGACCATTCTTTGCTATTTTATGTTAAACAGTCTTCATGCTTATCAGTTGTTTAAAAAAGATATTTTTATGGGATAATGAAAGAGAACATCAAGGGTTAAATTGGGGTAGAATGGTCCAGAACAGAGTTCCACTTATTGAGGACTCAAGTCATTAATGTTCTTGGTTTTCTGACTGGAATGTCAAAGAGTTTCACCTCTTTCAAAATCCAAATTTAACCACTGGACTGCACTGTAACTGTTGAAAGTACTTACTTTTTTATTGTACTAATTTGATATTAGATGATTTATAAGTAGTAATATTCTAAGTTAGATGTAAGTTGGAGGTTGAGGGAAGAAGATATTCCTGATACATTGTTATTTAGTAAAATGTTTTATAGAAATTTATTATACATATTTGTTGTCTTAAACTTGAGATCTGTTAACTGATAGAATACCCCTGTTTGTTTTTGTGTGCAAATAACAGTCTTTTTTTCTTCATTTTTAAAGTTTTGCAATGGTGGGGACCTGGCTGACTACTTTCATGGTAAGTCATCACTGTTCAAACTATATACACACACACTGGCTTGACTCTTTATTCAGGCCTATACTTAATAATGGATTGGGCCACTTTTTCCCCATATAACATTCGTGACACAAAATGGCATGGAACTTAAAAGGCACTGGAAGGAATCCTTAAGGTTTTCCCTATTCAGTCATTAATATTATACTTAATTCATGGATTGAGGTAGGCAGAGTATAGTCATGGTGGATTTGTCTTTCACGTTTATCATACAGATATTCAGTTGTGTTGAAAACTGAGGATTATGGTGGCGTTAAGATGCCTGAAGTCTCCATCCTGTTTCCCAAACCACTCATTCACAATTTGGGCATGGTGTGTGGGAGAATTGTCATCTTAGAAGTCGTCGTTCCCATCAGGTTACATGTGGAGCAACACTGGATGCACTTGATCAGAAATAGTCCTGAGGTAAGTGTTGGTATTTGTCCTCTCTTCTAAAGATACCAAAGGACCCAGGGAATGCCAAGAAGATGTTCTTCAAACCATGACTCCACCTTTGGAGGCCTAGACAGTTGGAACAATGCAAAAGGGTTTAGTGATTTGTATGACTTTCTCCAAGTCTGTTCTCCTAGGGTAAAGTGTTACTTGTTGCACCACCTCGCTTCTTGTCAGTCCTCATTACTCCAATGAATTTGCATTATTTGAGGCATTTTCTCTTGTTGGTAATTGAGATAAAAAATGCAATGGTCTCCTACTGCCATTGTCCATTTGTTGCAGTTTTTGTAAGGTACAGCTTGAAATGGTTGTGGATTGCTCTACATTGAATATATGTCAATTAGTGCAGTGTTTCTTACCCTTTTTTTGCTCATGGCTCTAGTTTGATTTATCTCTGTGGCCCCACTCTTCATAAATGCTGTTACTTAGGAAAAAAGTTACTTTATTTTCACACTGTTGATTTATAATATTATTTTTACAATATTGTATTGTTTTTAAATATTTTGTTTATAACATACTGTTTGCTTATACAAGTAAAAAATATTCTGTTAATCATTGAAATTTTATTCAGTGTGATCTTTGGGACTTTATCATCCTCTCTAACTGCCTTTCTTCTGTTTCTATCACAATATGTTTGTGGCCACAATTCACCCTCACAATAGACATTTGATTCACCTGTTGCTAATAAATTCCAATGACCAATGTATTGGAGCAATCTCCTAATGAAACTGTCATGACCACTGTGACACCTGTTAAATGTTCAACCACTATCATACTTCTTTTAGCACTACAGTATATTTTCTTTTCTCTATATCTGTAACACTGACTGCAAATGTATTTGTGTCAGTTATTTATAGTTATGCAGGGATCATTTGACAGATCATAAGATCAACCTAATCTGTAGCTTGGGTTAGGCCCAAGTCTAAAAGTGTACATAGGTCCTAATAAAGTGGCCAGCCAGTGTATATATTTAAATGACTTTTTTTTGTACCAAAAATATGAAGAAATTGAATGTTACATTAAAAAGAAAAGTATGCACTAAGAAACAAAATGAATTCTATTATACAAAAGAATAACAGAAAAGAGTATGCAGATGAATTAATAATACTGTCAGATATAAATGACTGTTTAGTGTAGGTATTATTAATTTATTTATTTTGTGAGTGAATATTTCATGATTGTTTAGTTTTTCATAATGAGAATTAAAAGCAATTATTTTAAAGGTGATAGTTATGACAAGTTTGGTTATGTAACTCTGTAAGAGTTGTGTTTATAATTCATTGATGTCAAGGCTATTGAATGTCTCATGCAATTCATTGACATTGAGACTATAGAGATTTCTAGAAGGCTTAAGTGATAGACGTATAATTAGCTCATGAGCAGATGAAACAGAGCAGAAGAGAGTAAGGTGAAGACATGGGAAGGAGAAGTTTGGTCAGAGAAAAAATTTACATAAAGCTAATTGTCATAGGAGTGAAAGGCTTAATGGTTGATATGACAGAGTGAGGTTAACAATTTTGAAAGAGATAAGGAGAATAAGTTGTCTCGTCATAGAGTGTTCTAAAGTAATTGAACCGGCTTGAGTTGACTTTTATAAAAGGCAGACAAATATTGGAAGTACGAAGACCAGACAATTACCAGAAGAGCACTATATGACTGCAGTGAATTATACACTAGTGTGATAAAAATAAAGAAAAATAGTTCGACTTGTCAACTAAATTTAAAAGCAATTGAATAGGCATAAATAGACTTTTGACAAGAAGAGAACTATGTAGCATTTATGATATAACTGTGATTTCCATAATGTAAGGAATTTCTGTACACAAGTTTAACTTATTCTGAACATATATATTATTTTGAAAACAAGTGGAGTGCATGCTGTTTTTTTTAATTTTTTTCTAATTTATCTCACAGACACCTACTGTAGAAGAATCATTAGCCCAATACACCCATATATTTACTTACTATATATACAAACTAAAAGTAAGTAGTCCAACAAATACATTTCACCTTTAGCTGTGTATTTACTTTACCAACACAAAAGTGACATCAGAAAGTATTAAACTCCTGTAAAACTAAATATTGTTAAGACATTAATAACTCAGTATTGAATAAGCCAGAGAAATGAAAGATAATGTCTTCAAAGCATACTTATGATTAAAAGGTAGAACACAGATAATTTGTATGATAATCTACACAGGAAGTCTTAAATTTTTTGTTTCATAACCATAAGTTCAGGACCTGTGTTAACCCTTTTCGAATTGATGAGCACCTTTCAGGTGTTGTAGTGCACATTTGTAAAGGTTTATAAAAGTTTTTTAAACCTAAAGTTAAAACCTAAAAAGTAACCAAAATTTACCTAAACTTCTAAGTAACCTAATTAA